GACTTGTAGTATGGTCACGTGGTGTTTCGGGATTATTAAATAATTTCCCAGATTTTACAAATTTTGAGTGAACTTAGCGAATCTAGGTAAAAAAAACCCTTACCTTGTGCCCTAGATCGATTTAGATAAGAAGGATTTGAACAATCTCAAAGATGTACGCTCAAGTCAAGAGGGAGAACAAGATTTTCTAGATCAAAATCACCAAAAATCGATGGAAATCAAAGAACTAGCCCTCTCTCTCTTACTCTCAAGTCGTGTCTCTATTCAATCAACAGAAATCGAAAAACATATCTAGATAGATTTGGATTCCCAAGGTACAATTACCTTTGTAAAAGGGAAAAAAAAATCCTTTATTTCACCTACACAAAATTGTGTCGTTTTACTGGTACAAATGTTACCCTTCGTTTCATACCCGGTTATCCCACCGTTTCCTAATAAACTAGTATAGCATAATCGGGAATTTAAAAGATTTGTTAACAGATTGGACAACATTTGTCAAAAACGCCACCAAAAAAACGTGATTATATCGCCTTTTTCATGTAGTGTAAGTTCATAACCTATTTTAGTCTTACATTTAAGTAGTCCTGTAATCACTCAACATTGCCAATGGGATATAACAAAATACCACATAATATAACTAAATGTAGGGAACAAGAGTAAGAAAATCAGGTGCACACACCTCAAATAGTGTATATCATATGCACCTTATAATTAAAGAATAAAATGACATAATTTCATATTTTTTGAGTTATAATAAAAAAAATGTCATAATTAAATATAGCATGAGCCATAACTGAAAAACTCATGAATCATAACTAAAATAATGCCATAACTAAATAAGAAAATTAGTCATAACTAAAAAAGAAAATGACATAATTAGGAATGCATATGGTACACCCCTTTCAAAGGTGTGTGTATATTACAATTTCCCTTAAATGTATGGTACATACTCAAAAAGTGAGTGTGGGTCTTGATTCGCGTGCACCTCGCTAGGAGGTTAGTAGTTCAAATCTCCATACCTGTGTGTAAGTCTTATTCCCCATGTATTAATTGGGCTTTCTCTCCTCCTTTGGGAGTTTCTTTGTAAAAGTTTGTATTGTATTTGATCTTCAATACTATAATTATAATTTAATCGGGTCGTTCTCTCCTATTTTGAGAGTTTCTTTGTAAAAATTTGAGGTTTTTTCTCCTTTTTGGGATTTTCTTTGTAAAAGTTTGTGTTATATTATAATTCATTGAATTTTATTGTATTATATCAATCAAATTTTAATAAATAAATAATAAAAAAATTCAGTGTGGGTGTGTGTAGCATATAATTGTCCAATTTTAATTACTCAAAGTCAAGTCTATTGGACTCATTAAAAAAAGAAAAAGAAAAAGAAAAAGAAAAAGCGAAGTCAAGTCTATTGGACTCATTAAAAAAAGAAACAGAAAAAGTGAAGTCAAGTCTATTGGGGGCAGCATATGCATAAACATTTGGTTATGATTTTCTTGCCTCTTTACACAACTGCATACCATGAACGTAGGCGAAGTAATTTGAGTCAAGTAGTACTTTCATAATAGATATCATCTCATACGTATAATTAAAATTATTTTATTTTCTCTGTATAAAAAAAAATATATTTTTTATAGGTCTAGCTTCTTTTAGCTCAGATCTTGAATTAAAGAGTATTGTCCAAGCTTATAAAACTCACTACATGTATTGTTTTGATGATATGAACTGTTCATTTTGTAAGAGTTTTCATGTATATTATCTACACACAAAAAAATTAGATTGATCCGATAATTATATTTGTTCAATTTATTGTGTTTGTTGCCAAAGTCTATTTTTAAAAATACAGTTATCATCTATTTTTTTTTAAAGAAATGAAATAAATTAAACATATTACGATTATTAAATTAATCTAACATATTTGTACGGATCATTGGAAAACGGATGCATTTTGAGCTCCACAAGCCTAAATATTACATTCCTCTGGATTAGAGAAAAGCCAACCGTATTATTCATATAAAAAAAAAAAAATAGATCAATTTAATAATTGCAACGTATTCAATTTCTCAAATTTATCTCAAAAACAAAATTGACAATGTGTATTTTTTTAAAAAGATCATTCATTTTTTTTTTGTTGGTAATAAACGTTATAAATTAAATATGTTACGATTATTAGATCAACTAAAATTTGTGTGTGAATAATATACATGAAAGACTCTCCAAAATGAATGATTCGGATGATCGAAACGAAATCCCTAATGAAAGACAATCCAGATCTTATGTGTAAATTTGTTGTCATGTAAGATAAAGAAGTGGGATTGTAGGCTAATTAAAATGAAGGAAATTTTACAATACACATCCCATTTTGGGGTGTGTACCATATGTATCAATTATGACATTTATAGTTTTTTGTTATGATTTATTATGGTGTTAGTTATAACTTGATTATGATTATGCTATGACTTATTGTAATATTAATTATGACTTATAGTGATGTTAATTATAACCTTTTGTGATTATTTGTTTGGTTATAATTATAATCCAAAATGTCAAATGTCGTTAGTTATACTCTGTGTAGTGTTTGTTTAAGAGTTTGTTTGTTTGTTTGTTTGTTTTTTTTTTTTTTTTTTTTGTAGTTATGGCAAAAAAAAAAAAATAGTTATGATATTTGTGATAATCAAAAGACAAGTCTTGATATTATACAATGGGGGGTGTTTGGTGCACATTAAGTAGGTGTTTGGAATTTGCATTTTTTGATATTTTTTTGTTGACTTATTCTTTTATGATAACTTACAAATACATTCCTTGAGAACTTTTTAAAATATATATTGCCCATTGTACTTTTAAAAATTACAAATACTTCTAGTTAGAATTTCTCATTTAACAGAATTAATATAAAAAGAGAAATTTTTAACTACCGTCCTATTTAACAATAAAATTATTAGAAATATTAATTAAAATATATTTCTAATATCATTAAAAATTATTTATGACTAAATGATTTATTAACAAAATGAGTCATTTATTATGCAATTACAAATTTAAAGACAAAATATAATTTTCAAAAAAGTGGTGCTACATCCCCTAATATATATTACCTCTATTTTGACTTTTAATGAGGTGGGAGAGAGAGAATAGAAAGAGATAGAGAGATGAAGGATAAGGAGTAAGGAGTGAGGTCCATTTCACATCATTGTAAGTAGATTAGGGGTGCTCAACTAGAGCTTCCAAGCATTTTTCTTTTTGAAATTACAATTAATATTTTAAACAAATCTTAATAAGGAACAACTTCTCTCCGGGACTAGAGCATATTGTTGGGCTTTTGTGGTCTATTACGGAATCCACATCGACGATTCGAACCGTCAATGCATAGGGCTCGTTGAGTACTTTATCTTTATAAAAAATCAAGTTAATCAGATATTAGTCACCATTTGATCAGATCACATTTGTATTAATAATTTATTTTTAAAATTATAGTTACCGTTAATATAAATTTGATTTGATCAAGCAACTATCAATATCTAATCAATGTAATTTTTTATAGAAATAAAATATTCAACAAAATTTACATATTGAATAATTTGAATCATCAATATAAATTTTGTAGTAAGCCTACGAAATCCAACAACACCCTCTATTGTGATTTCAAACAGGAGAGAAGCGTGTGCCATCTCAATATATTCATAATTTGCTTTAAATATTAATGCACCAAATTTGCATCTTTGATTTATGGTCCACCGAGAAAAGAACAAGATGACCGGAGAAGCCACCCATAGTCAAGTCAAGTTTACCTATAATAATAACAATGATATTATGGACCAAACATAAAAATTCAAAAATTATTCAAAATTCTATATTAATGACTCATATTTTCATATATAAATTTTATATCGTACAAATTCAATATTTACCATGCATCATTCTAACTAAAAAAAATCTGAATAGATATGTCATTGTCCATAACATTTTTGTAGTAATAATAATCAAAGGAAATTACCAAAAAGATGTAAGTTGATAAAATTATTACATATGTATGAAAAAATTTATAATTTATAATTTTAATTATTAATAATATTAATAAAATTTATTATTAATTTATAATTATTTTCAAATTTTTGTCCTGGTATTATTGTTATTAAAAAAAAAAAAAACAAAACGACATGAATCCCCAAAAGTCAAGTAAAGTCAAGTCTACATATAATAAGATTATTATTATTATTAAAATTGGTTGTGATTTGAAAATTATGTATATCATTGTGTTGTTTAAATAATTAACAGAATGATTATGTTTTACTCTTTTTTTTTTTTTTTCATTAGTGTTTAGGATCCAAAGTTGCACTTAAAAAATAAAAATAAAAAAGTCTATGATTCAAAGTGGCAAAAATAAAATATTAGAGGCCAAAATAATATGAAATTCATATTTTAGAAACTATTTCTTTATCATTTTGTTAATTTAGACAATCCGTTTAAAAATGAATCAATTCAATTCCGTGAATACTTCAATGATAACATTAAAAAATTTAAAAATCAAAGTAATACAAACAATATATATAAAGAAATGTATTTTATCCTAATTTATAAAATGGTGAGAGCCGCCAATGAAACTATTGGAGGACCAACACGGCGCAAGGTTATTGATCCAAATGATCGGATGCTTATGTTGTATAATTTGTTACAGAAGTGATGGTCCAAAGACATGTGTTTCATATGCATCGATCTGGCATGATCTTAGTGGAGGATCCAAACCAAGACTATTGAAAGGAATTGCACTAGAATTTTCAAACCCAACTAATAATTTTCCAAGTTGTATTATCTATCTATGAATACCTCTCCATGCTCTTGCAGCTCTTCATCCCTCCATCCTATTACTGTCTTTCATAGCATTCTATTCTATTAATAACAAACAAGCCTACAATGACATTCTTCCCCAATACACTTCCCAACCACTTTCTTTCTTTCCCACCCCTTTTACTCTGCCTCATCATCCTTGCATTCCCCACTTTTTTTGATTTATGCAGCTTTTGCTTCTTCCTTAACTGGAAAACAAGCAACTGAAGCCATGGCTCTCTTGACGTGGAAAGCTAGCCTTCACAACCAAACTCAAACTCTCATGTCCTCCTGGGTTGGAACCAACCATTGCACTTGGCTTGGAATTCGTTGCAACAAGGCCAGTAGAGTTGCCCATATAGACCTTCAGAGTTGTGGTTTGAAAGGTACTCTTTCTAATCTTAATTTCTCATCCTTTCCTCATCTCCTCACCCTTGAACTTTTTAACAACTCACTTTATGGGACCATCCCCCCCCCCCATATTGGTAGCCTTTGGAGACTCACCTACCTTAGCTTGTCTCTCAACAATCTCTTCGGAACAATTTTGACCGAAATAGGCCAACTAACTAATCTAAGGTTCTTGTACGTGTTTGAAAATCAAATTGGTGGCTCCATCCCCCAAGAAATAGGATTGCTCAACTCTCTCAATAAGCTTGCCTTGTGTACTAACAATCTCACGGGTTCAATCCCTTCTTCAATTGGAAACTTGGGCAACTTAACCCTTCTGTACCTTTATGACAACCAACTTTCCGGATCAATCCCTCAAGAAATTGGGATGCTAAGGTCTCTCGTTGATCTCGAAATCTCAATGAACAACCTAACGGGTTCAATCCCTGCATCTATAGGAAACTTAGGCATGTTAACCACTTTGAAGCTTGCTGAAAATATGCTTTCAGGACTCATTCCTTCGACAATTGGAAACTTGACAAAGTTGACGGGTTTAGACTTTAGTCTAAATCCATTATCAGGCTCCATTCCTTTAGAGATAGGAAATTTAAAACAACTTGGTTATTTGATATTCATTGATAACCAACTCACTGGCTCTATTCCTCCAAGATTGAACAATCTTACACATTTGAAATGGTTTCACATAGGTCACAACAAGCTCGTTGGTCATTTACCAGAAAACCTATGCTTTAGTGGATTACTTACACATTTATCTGCAACTGACAACAATCTCACTGGTCCCATCCCCGAAAGCTTGAGAAATTGCTCTAGCTTATACAGAGTTAGGCTTGAGGGAAACCAACTTTCGGGAAATATATCAGAAGATTTTGGCATATACCCAAGCTTGGATTACTTGATTTGAGTCATAACAATTTTATGGTGAGCTATCTAAAAACTGGGGAAAATGCCACAATTTAACTAGTCTCAAAATGTCTAACAATAAAATTTCTGGTGAGATACCATCTGAAATAATGGATTCAACTCAACTACGCCTCCTTGACCTCTCTTCAAATGACCTAGTTGGAGAAATCCCAAAAGATGGTTTCATTGTTCAACCTTAAGCTAAATAATAACCATCTATCAGGCAACATTCCTCCAGAATTTGGTAAGTTGTCCTTTTTAGAGATCCTTGACTTGGCAGCAAATGATTTAAGTGGCTAAATCCCTGGAGCACTAGGGGAGTGTATGAAACTTTATAACTTGAATTTGAGCAATAACAGTTGGGGAAAGTATTCCTGCCGAAATAGGTCGTATCCATAACCTTCAAATTCTTGATCTTGGTCATAATTTGCTAATAGGTAAGATACCACAGCAGATTGGAGAATTGCAAAGGTTAGAAACATTGAATCTCTCCCACAATGAACTCTCTGGTTTCATTCCATCATCTTTCGATAATATGTTAGGTTTGGCATTGGTAGATGTATCTTTCAATCAGTTGGATGGTGCTATTCCTAACATCAGAGCCTTTCGAGAGGCTCCATTTGATGCACTCAGAGGTAATAAAGGTTTATGTGGTGATGCTACTAGTTTGAAAACTTGTCCAGCGAAAATGAACAATGGGGTAGCTAAGAAAAAGAGTAACAAAGTTGTGTTACTAATTGTTCTTCTTTTTGGATTTCTATTTCTTTCATTAATGATTGTTGGAATAGTACTCTTGGTTTTTTGTAAAAAATATAGGAACACGAAAAATGAGCCAAGACGAGTAAATAAAGAAAATTTGTTTGAAATTTGGAGCTGTGACGGAAAAATGGTGTATGAAAGCATCATTGAAGTGACTGAAAACTTCAGTACCAAACATTGTGTTGGGGAGGGAGGATGCGGTACTGTTTATCGAGTTGATCTCACAAGTGGTCAGGTAGTTGCTGTGAAGAAACTTCATGTATCACCCGATCGTGACTTGGCTAATCTAAAAGGCTTTACGAGTGAGATTCGTGCATTAACAAAGATTCGCGATCACAATATTGTAAAACTTTATGGCTATTGTTCACACCGAAGGCACTCGTTTTTGGTTTATGAGTTCTTGGAAGGGGGAAGCTTGGGAAAGATATTGAGCACGGAGGATCATGTACTATACTTTGATTGGATTAAGAGAGTGAATGTTGTCAAAGATGTGGCAAATGCTTTGTCTTATATGCACCACGATTGTTCTCCAGCAATCATCCATCGAGACATATCAAGCAAGAATGTTTTGCTTGATTTAGAGTCCGTGGCTCACATATCTGATTTCGGCACAGCTAGATTTTTGAAGCCTGACTCATTAAATTGGACATCATTTGTACACTGCTCCTGGTATGTAATGCTCATTTTATTTTATCAATCATTGCATATTAAGAGATTTCTAATCTTGGATGTTATTTCACTTGAATTGAAAGGACCATTGAACTTCTAATTGTCATTTTGACATGGAGCATGAGCATGTTTCTTGTTTTTTTTTTTTTTTTAATTACTATTTTCTTCTCTTGGTTATTTGTTTCATTTGGTAGAACTTGCTTATACAATGGAAGTGAATGAGAGGTGCGATGTTTATAGTTTTGGGGTTCTCACATTGGAAGTGATTATGGGGAAGCATCCGGGTGATCTAATCTACTCTCTGTCATCATCGTCATCCTCTTCCTCATCCACATCAAATGCACATGGGATATTATTGAAGGATGTGTTGGATCAACGTCTCCCAGCACCTGAGAATCAAGTGGCAGAGCAAGTATTTGTGGTTGCAAAACTAGCATTTGCATGTTTGCAAGCCAATCCACTATCTCGGCCAACCATGAGACAAGTTGCCATGAAGCTATCAGATGATCGAAGGTCACATCTGCAAAATGAATTCCACATGATCACATTGGGACAACTGATTTCAACTGCTCAACCTCTTGAGTATTTGCCTTCTATCCTTGGACTATATGTTGTTCTTGTTTTCCATTTTCTTTTTAGATTCTTCAATTTCAACCCCCTTTTCTAGTCTATTTTTCTGCTCTTTTATACTAATTAGCATTTTACAAAACTTTTTAATAGCTAATTTAAAACCATCTTAAATTTCATTGGATTTTTGCAAGCTTTTTAAATGAATAGTTTCAATAAAAAATTTCTACTTATTTATCTTGAATTTATTTGACACTTTAGTTGCTCATATTATTTATACATTTATAAGCTCTAAATTCCACATTAGCTTTTCTACTCTTATTCTGTATTTCGAATTTGCTTGCTCTGTTTCTTACAAAGTGGTGTTGTACTATGCAAGCAACTAGTGCCCTTAGCCATCCAGTCTAATCGAAAGCCTTTTGTGGTAATTTGAGATCGAAATCGATAAATTTGATTGAGACATTTTTATTTTTTAATATTTTTTATAATTTATTATTTTGTGATTTTGTGATGAAAATTTACTAATTAAATCTTCACATTCAAGTTTTGTTACAATTTTTTTTTAATTGATAATATGACTAATTTACTGTTATTATAAAATATTTTTGAAACTGTCATCATCTAGTGATTTTAATTTTTAAAATTAAATAAAAAAAATCAACAATTTCTTCCAAAGTTAGAAATCATTCAAACATGACTTGAATTGAAGAAAGCAAGCTAGAGAGAGCGGATCTGTTTGGTTTGGCGTAACTTTCTTCAAACTTTTGAACTTTACTTTTTTCCATCTCAGCAGAGAGTTGTATCAGCAAAAGTGTTATGTAAATTAAGGACTTAAGAAGGTCAGCGTAATTATATCAAAAGTATAAAACTAAATGTATTTTCTTAAAATCTTAAGAGAGGTGAGTGTAATTTACCGAAAACAAATGTAAGAGTTTTATGGAATCTTAACCACAACTTGTAGATTTTCAAAAAAAGTGGGTCATCTGGGGTCTATTTTTCCATATGAACCAGCATGGCCTTATTTTCGGGGAAAAAGAATGTTGAAGTTATATAGACCCTTAATATATGGGATAATTACTATTAAGGCCTCGTTTGGGAACAGGCTAATTTAGTAACTTTTTGACTATTTGGCTAAAAAGGTAGGTAAAAAAAACTTGTATGTTTGGGATGACTTTTTGGCTAATTACGAAAAGATGTGCAAAAAGTAGAGAGAAAAGAGAATCTTTAACTTTTTGGTATGGGTTGTTGGCTTTTTGGCTAATTTAGTAACTTTTTGGCTAATTGGCTAAAATAGCCTCTTGCCAAACGAGGCCTAAGTCTTATTGATTGGATTTATTTACTCATAAATCTAAAGTGATTTGTTTATTTATTTATTTTTTATTTTTACATATTTGCCTTTTATTTTAATAATGAGATAATTTTGAAACTTTATACATATATTTTGTGTTTGTGAAATGATTATTTGGTACTTGTAATGATACTAATAAATTTATCAAAGTGATAAATGATTAGGACATTTTGACTTTTATTTGTAAGTTTTGCTTAGTTTTAGTTTATTTATGTTGGTTTGCATTAAAATAAGATGTGAGAGGTGTAACTAGTTAAATTGTATTTTTAAAAAAAATATTTTTACAGTAATAAATTTATCTCTAAAAGTTAAAATAAGATATTTTTATAAATAAATTTGATCCATAGAATCTATCCCGTAATGTATAGGCTTTCAAAAATTAGTACCATAAAAAATTAAGGCTTATATCAAGGATTTTATTGGCTTTATGGTTAAGCCACCCATGTTTCCATGTTTAATTTAATTTTATTTTTTCATGTTGCTTTCATCTACTCATATTGATGATTACGTATTCATATTAATGATTTCTTGTTCTGTTTGGAAGGATTAAAGACCATCAAGATCAAGACCAAGAGCTAATGAGTTAGAAGCAGCATTGGCTGGTGCACATATGGCTCTTGGGACTGATGTGTGACTGACTGCCAGGACCTACATATTGCTATTGCAGCTTGTCTTGTGTGTTGGATTGTATGTAAAGGCTTAGAGTTGTTCTCTGTTTTGTCATTTGGTTGTTTTTTATTTGGTTTCTCACCAACTCGTTGTGATGTGCTTCCATATGATTAGGTTTGCTTTTCAGTATTAACCTAATTGGGATCGTGTGGTCTTACTATGATGTAGTCGTGCACTCGCCTTTTTTCACTTTACTGATGTTCTATTTGTTTATATGCTGGTCTTCATCAATAAATTTTTTTCTTTTGTTGATAATAATAATAATAATAAAAAAAAAATGAAAAAAAAAGGGCGACGGCCTTGTGATAGTGCTGCAACATAGGTATTTGATTTATTTTTTTCCAACTTTTTCATTTTTCTTCCAAATCCATAATATATACATAACCAGAGTTCCTATCACCCAAGAAAAATAATGGAAAATAGGACACCTAAAGTCTTGGTATTGGACAAATGAAAGTGTTTCATTAAGATTTCTTGCCTTTCATACATGGCAAAGGCAAATCATTGGTCCTACAAAATTATTTATATGATTTAGGAAAAAATTATTTTTGCTTCTAGCTAAATTCACGTGATGTTTTTACTTAATACTTATTTGTTAAAATAATGAGACTCAATACTTTTCGTTATATTTAAAAAAAAAATACTTGACAAATATCAAATGATGAATAATATAGAGTAATGCTCCAAAACTATAAAATAATCACTCATGATTTAGAGTGTATTCCATTATTTTCTGTGCCTTTAGATGTACTAGTGTTTGTCGAGGGCTCTAACTAATTGATTTCTCTTTACCAAACTTGTCTCCTATCCAATTCACAATTTTGATATTCAACTTCTTTAGTCTTAATATTCTCTGTAGATGACTTTAAATTTTATATCATTTCAAAATTTTACTTCAATTGTTTGTTCATTTTACTTAAAAATTGAAATCTCTATAATTGAATTGACTGTTGCTTATTGAATTATAGAATGAAATATTTATTTAATCATACTTTCTAGAAAGTATAAAAGAATATTAATCAAGAGCTCTTAATTCAATTTTACAACTACAAAAGCAAAAACAGTAATGTTTAAGTGATACTGCGCTCAATTAATTTATTACTCTAGATTTGTGTGTACTATTTTTTTTTTCTTGTGTAAATGGTTAAAATATAAAACAATAATAGTAAATTTTATCATTTTAAAATTTTCTAATAACTATTTTAAATTGATTTTATCTTTTTAAGTGATATGTAAAAATATAAATGTCATGACCCAAACTTGCCCTAATAGGTTTAATATCATGACCACCCAGTAATATAAAAAAAAAATAATTTAGTTATTGGGGTCGTCACAATAGGTCCCCAAATTAACGCTTCACTTTGGGCCTCTGAATGTTTAGGGCCGGCCTTGCCTCCGGCCACCTCCTCCCACTAATGAAAACCACATTTGGCCACCTCTCCTTGCCAAAATCCATCTTTGGCCACCAGTTTTGAAAGTAGATTACCATCTCCGACCATCGGCCACCACTTTCAGCGGCCGATTAACATCTGTCACGCCCTCAAAATAAACCCATAATATATATATCATTGGCATGCAATATTAAAAGAAACCAATTCATTATCTCATTCATCAGAGTATTACAAAAAGAAACATTACATGTACTATCAAATTAAATGCCCTATGGGTTTACATCTTTCCAAGCCAACACTTGGACACAAAAATATGAGTTCTAACTCAAATACAAATAAAGCCCTAGGCTTGAATGTTTATCAAATAAAAACAAAAAAAAAAACTAAAGATAGTCTTCAAAATCCAAATCCTTGCAAGCTAAGTCCTTGGAGGTAGTTTATCACCTGGACCTGAAAAATGATGTTCCCATAAAGGGTGAGCCACAGCCCAGTAGAAATATACTAAACCAAATATAAGCATTGATTAAATTATAATCAAATTATAGATGGATATGTTATCCATAATATATGGCATTATAGGCGGCTTATTTGGAGCATATTACTTTTCAAAGTCTATTCTTTTCATTAAATAGTTAGAAGGGAGATAAGGGTAATTCTATTACTTAAAAAAAATGAATATATTATGTCAATTTAATTACTGCTAATAGCCCACACCCTTTTATTTGGACCATCATCCGCTTTCCCTAGTTCTTTGGACCCCACCAACCAAAATTGCTTCCCAATTTATTTATTTTTTAACTCCTACCATATTCAAAAAATACTCTTTTCTTGGGACCTTCATCCTTGGCCCCACCTTTCTCCAATAACCTCCGTTCCCTCGCTATTCTCACCTTTAACCACTATTTCACTCTCTCCTAACAGCTCTATACCCATGCCAGGCACCCCTCAAACCCTTCCACTTACCCCAACCACCCTTAGTCCTATCTTTACCACCAGTCGAGAGACTGACGAAGAGAGAAATAAAGACTAGAAAGAGGGATTGAAGGTCGTGATCCCAGCTAGGTGGCAAGAATGGGCTGGAAAAGGGAAGGCGAGGGCGAGGAGAATCGCCGAAGCTAGGGGTGGGCAAGAAGGGTGCCACCCGGAGCTACTAGTAGCTAGGATGGAGGTGGGGCTTAAGGTTAGGGTTTGGAAGGTTTGGGCAAATAATAAAATTGAATTTTGTGTTAGAGTAAAATTGTAATAAAAAAAATATGAAAGGAATAGGGTAGAAAAAAATGAGAGGTAATTCTATTTTCACACACTAATTTCACTCAATTTACATACTTAATGAAAATTTTCATTGATACAATCTAATTTGTTTTTATTTTATTTTATTTTAAAATAAACTATAGATGATAACATTTATATTTTACCATTTTATTTTTTCTATTTGCTTCTCTTAATTTCAAGTGATACTATTCTCTGATACAGTTTTCAGAATATCTTCAGCTTGTCTACTTCTGCGTTTGTTAATCTGCTCTTGTACTGCTAAAGTTGAATATTTAGTCTGTACCCATAGAACAGACACCTGATAGAAAGCGATGAATCATACTCTTTAGAGACGTCCTTTGTTTAATACATTCATAATTCGTTTCTCTATACCCATTTGGTTTGAAAAATTACCAATATTTTCTTTCAGAAAAGCTGTGTCCTTTTGTTTAACAGAATTGGACTGAAAAAATAAAATACTTCTACTGCTCTCACATATAATGATTAAATTCTTAATTATTATATCGAATAAATTTTAGACATCATTAAAAACTGTTATTGACTTAATAATAACTTCACTTCTATGGCAAAAAGTACGAAATCTTCCGCTTATGAAATTGAAAAATTTAAAGAACATAATGTATTTTTAAATTTACAAGTGACAAATCATATTTTAAAAAATATTAAGGATAATTTTTAATTCGCCCTTAACAAGAATTAAAAGTTTAGAGTCAAATGAAGACAACTTGTTTGATCCACATGAAATAATAATCCCAAGGGAGACATTTTTTTGTAATAGAAGCATCTTCTTCAAAAGTTTTCAGTCATTCAAGATTGGTTAAAATAAAAAGAGTAGCAATTATACACTCACCAACTACCGCGATAATCCTAGCCGAGATGCATCACGTACTGTTCATATATGATGAGAGACCTAGTATGTTGGATATAGCTGGGCAAAATTCAAAAGACTGCCATAGCTGCCCTTTATGTTTACACATGCGGTCCTTCAAATTAGGCCCCAAGGACTTGGTCGCTTAAGTAAACAAAGAGCGGGTATTCAGACGTTCGAGTCCCTTGGAGGTCGGCAGATGCTCAGCATAGACCATCTCTCTGGGCACGAGAATGCGCACATATTAACCTGCGCCGGCATACCCGCACATATGAGCCGGCCTTATGTTGCACATACGGTCTACATAAAATCTGGAGAATGCCTGTGTGGCACGAACTCTAAGAAAAGAGAAAACAAAAAAGACCGCACAAGTGAACGGAACTATGAGATTAGCTGTGAAATCTCGCCACTAATGAACCTGAGAGAAGCTAAGTACTCTTTTTGGATTCTGTAGATATAGACGACCGGAATTCAAGAAAAACCACCTCTACTTATCAACAAACACCGATCCCTTTATATCTATTTTCCCTTAGCACTTGTCTTGCATAACATCTATTTTCTATACTTATCTATTCACTACACCCCACACTTACAACTCGCTCGTCTTCTTCTCATGAACTATGAAAACATGAGAAAGCAAGAAGATAGAGATAAGTAAACAGCAGATGAGAGCATATTGTGAGTATTGCTACTCTATGATAATTCATTAATAGCCTATGAACTTAACAATATGTGTAGAACACACATTGGATAGCGGTTTTGATCTAAAAGCTGTAAAGTGGTCACAATAAAAAATCAAATTGCTTCTTTGTTTTTTCGAGTAGCACTTGGTAATGGGACTAGGTTAAATTTATTGGAAAATCACCGCTACCAGGTGTTTTGGAGAAGTATAATCAAGTTCAAAGAAATACTGGACGAACAGAGATGGGCCATAATGAAGAAGAAATTAACACACGCGCCAAATGACGATGATGAATGCGCAAAGAGACGAAATGAAGAGTCATCAATGGGTGATGGTAAGTTTGTAATTGTGGAATGGCGGGTACAACAGATCGACACGAATTTGTGTGGATAGATTTAGAAGATAAGAGATACTCATAATCAAAATTGTATTGATTATTGTTGTGTTCACTCCACATAAATACAAATTACAACTGTATAGTTCTCCGCAACTGTTAACTCTTTCTTCAAAAATCAATAAAATCTATCTCCTCCCATTACTTTTGGCAGCACATCAATAAGAACCATAATTAGTGGCTAATATATGAAAAATTACTCTACATATTCGTCTTGACAAACTTTTATATTTAGTCACCAATAATCTCAATACATACTAGAGTGCTGATGCAAAAATAATTATGTTCACATCTCATACTCCGATTCTCCACTACATAAAGTACATTTACTATATAGTTAATTGATGTTGCTGCAAAAAAGTATTATATATAATCTTAATTGGTTGACTGTATAAAATAAGTATATTTTATGGGCGATACCAAAATTATTTGGTCTCTGAGCGGCAATCGTGAAATAATGTGTGACGTTCTTCAGCTCTGGGTACCCAAGAACCGTGATTGCTGAGTTATTAGGTACGTAGATACATATATACAAATCACATTTACTCTTTCTAAATTCGTATAGCGACCTAAATCAATTAATTAATATTGGAATCAGCAGCTAGA